CCTATCGAGCCTCTAGACAGAGAGTGACGGGATGAGAGGATAGCGCGTGAGGGTCAGAGAAGGGGTTTGCTTCAGAGCAGGGACCCTACATGCAAATGGTGCGCATTTATCGTAAGCAAAGAGCGCCGTATGAATATGTGAAGTGGGAAACGAAACAAAACAGAAAAAAGACGAGCAGCAGGCTATATGTGTGTGTGTGTGAAAGAGAGGCGTAAGATCGGTTGGATTGAACGAAAACGGAAATGACAGGAACAAGTTGATCGCCAGGCGGTCTGGTGACGTATATAGAATTGGAAGGGTGAAGAAGGCACGAAAAGTTGAGAGGCGTTTAACGACCGACGCTGTCGATGCGAATAATTCGTGTCGGGAGAGTGTGAGCTTCGAGTTGTTCTTAAGTGTCTTTTTGTTTCGTTTTTCTTCCTGAGACTCGGTTTGAGTTTTCGAGAAGTTTGAGCATTAGGTAGAAGTTTGTGACGCTAGACATGTTTATTTAGAACGTTTTCGTATGATACTTTATCAGACTAAAAATACTGTCCTAGTTGAAATCAAGAAAGTATTGAAAATTATCTCTGAAATAATTTTATGTTTAAATGAAGTAATCATAAAGCATAGAGAAATTAAGATTGAGATATATTTAAAGATCGAATACATAGTCTGTAATCTAGACTCTGAGGATATTTAGAACCAATTGACTTCTAAGAATTGTGCCATAAAAATTCGAAAATTAACATCAATGCGTGAATATATTAGCCTAAATCATCAAACTGTGCTCATACAATCTTGCTAATATTAATTCATTAAATTCCTACGTAATATTAAATTGTAACATAAATTTGTTCTGTTTTTATATATATTCTATAAACAAAACGATAGTTCTAATCTAATAGTTCTAACGCCTGAATTCTAATCGCTAATAGTTCTGGCTTGCAAAAATAATTACTCACAAATAACATTGTACTTTCAAAGAATCGTATAGTTGATTCAACAGGACATGCTGTATGTCGAAGATACCATATACATCTTTTCAAAGAGCATAGTGTTTCGTAAACTTGACAGGCTTCGGAGTTAGTTATCAACCCCCATATAAGACGAGAAATACTTCCCTTTCTGCTTGTAGGAGGTAGCCAAATGCGAAGTAGGCCGACTGGCCATCGTACCAGTATGGCCAATGGAATCTGTAGAAACCGCCAAATAGCCTGCAGCTAAAGGGTAACATTTCACCGTTTCAAATTATAGCTGTTTGGGGAGCAGCGTCGCAAAATACATCGTATCATCCTTCCTTGCAATATTCGCCAGGGAAGAGTTTACTTTCCACGAGATGCTGGATTCTATTTTCGTATTTATTTCCTTCGTATATCCAACGTTCAACTTTAAGTCCCTTTTATCGTTCCAACTTCTATCTTGATTCCTTCCTCTATTTTCGTTTATTATCCCTTCTAATCGCTTTATAAGAGGAAATTACAATCGGATTTTCTTGTGAGATACAATACGGTCAATGTAAATAAGATACAAAGTAAGATCATTATATAGTATAGTAAGGATATAGTGAAGATTAGGATAATTAAGAAATGTACTATATTACATTTTATGAAGCTTTAAGAATATTTATCTCTATTATAATTATTTTCATTAATTTTCTTAATCTTCTTCAAACAACGATATTCTCATTATATTCATTTCTGCATAATTTAATGCAATTTTATTATTCGCATAATGAAACCATAGTTTTCATCAAACGTATTACCAACAATAAATCACTGTTCGTTGGATGTTTGAGTCTCGTTTAAAAGAATCTTTTCACGCCGTTGGCGCCTTCGAAAATGATTTGCTCGCTCGTAAATCTTCAGAGCGGCATGAATTTCACGGTGGCTCGTGTCCGAGTTAGAAAGAACGGTGAATTCTCTCGAGCGCCGACATTTATGAAGTGCCTACGTTACTCGACGCTTTTTTCACGAAATAATAGGAGCTTCTTCATTAGAAATTATCCGAGTGCAACACACCAGAGGAAAAAAAGGTTGCGCAAACAAGAGCTCCCGAACAAAAGAGATTACTGCTGTCGTTTCAGTAACATTCCGACTGAAAAAACCGCGATACATTTAACTTTTGAAATCTCTACTTTTATAGTACTCCGCCTCCTAGATTTAATCGCGCAACGCTCAGCTCTTAATTTTTCAAAATGTGTTTTTTATATTGTCTAGAATATGGGTAATATCTGACCGTGCATTAATAAAACATTCAAATTATTCGGAATTTTAATCTTACGAAAAATACAAGAGGAATATATTCCTTTTTCGATGAATACTCATATTTCATCGTTTTATAAAACATAAAGCATTTGTAATTAAAGAAAAAAGATCAACATTGCCTTAAGATCTGAAAGGAACAATACTCATAAATAGTCTAGGGATGAAAGATACTGAGGAACTGAACATACGCAAGTAAAACATTTCATCCTATAAATATCATAACGAGAATTTCACTTTGAAAATTTTGCATATTTTTACACGTCATATACATTCATGTGCATCGAAATTTTCCATAAGCGCGTAGAAATCTGGAGTCCGCCCATAACTGCGATACCATCACTTTGTCAAGGAATGTACGCTCACCCCAAAGTATAACCGCTTCTCAAAGTGAAAAAAATAAACAAATTACCAAACAAGCTACCTCGCTTTATGATCCATTCAATGCTGAACAAAAAGCAAAGAGGAGAAGAGGGAAAATCGGCAAGTGCCCCTCTTCATAGTTCCACTCCCTTCGACATCGGGGCAATATACGAGTGTTAATTCCGTTCATCGAGTCGCGGAGAGAAGAAAAAAAGGCGGGCGCGCGTGCTAGGGTGAAATCGCGATCCCCTTCGAAGCCTTTTCGTTTCGGACCCTCGCC